TTATAACCTTAACTCTTCATCTCATAGCTCATCACTTATAACCTTAACTCTTCATCTCATACATAGCTCATCACTTATAACCTTAACTCTTCATCTCATACATAGCTCATCACTTATAACCTTAACTCGTCATCTCGTAACCCATCACTGATAACCTATCACAATATTTCAACAGATTCAGCAATTTAGAATGCAATCTTTCTTGTTTTAAAGCATGTATAAACTGAGAAGTAAATGTTTAAATGCCGATATAATCAGGCGGATAAGTCGTGTGGTTAACACTCCGGCCTTCCAAACAGGCGGCCGGGGTTCGATCCCCAGATGGCATTGGACTAGTAGTTAGCGCCTGATAAGGCAGCTCCTGCGAATTCCTCAATATTGTATTGATTAATATATATGCTAATTGTATTGACTGTATAAAAGTGTATATCTATGTACTGAAAAGCGCTTTAGAGTGGCTTATGTTAGCTAGATAGGGTGCTATATCAAATGTTGTATATTTATATATTTTATTTATAATATATAACAGTATTGTATGCTAAGAACCCAAAACTATACACTAAAAGTTTTACCTTCAACTAAATGCAAAGACCTAAGCTGCAGACAACTTGTATGGGGGGAGACAGGTGTACGTGCTGGGAACTGGTGGAAGATCTTTTTGTCGTAGAGTCTGACATGTTGTATAAAGACAACTATACACATCCCATGCCGTGAGGTTTTTTTATGATTGTGTTGTCTTATTGGATGCTTACTGGAAAGTTATCAGCCAATCAAATTGTATCAATTTCATTTATACTCCGAACTTCCTGTTCTTATCACCACAGAGGTAACTGATAAAGAAGCATGCCGATTATCGAGACATTAGCTATTCCACAAACAATATAAAGATCCTATTCAAACAATCGCATTTAACTTCAGAACAGGACAACAAAGCTACAGGCATTATTTGTACAGACTACAGATGTTCACCCCCAATCAATAAACAATTATAGTAGCTATTCATCAAGACTTTTTTAAGTGGAGCAACAGCTTTATAATTTCAAATATAAGACTTGATTATTCTAAATTTTGAAATTTCTCTTGCACAAATACAAAGAGAACATCTGTTGACAGGTAAATAAAATTTGAGGTTGTAGGAAAACTGCACACAAATCAAAAATCTAAGTTACAGTGAAACTTACATCAATAAACTGTATACAGTAAAACATTTTGGTTTTGCAGTGAAACAGCAATTATTGTTTAATGACACTGGAATAAATTGATTAAATTCAACAAACATTTATAAAAAAGATTGTGGTTATGACTGAAAAAAACCACAATGGGATCGATGATTTATGGATCTGTGATCTGGCCTTGAAAAACATGTGTCTGGTATTAATGCTTTCACTGTTACATCAATCCTTGTGTCTGTGGTCAGTTCTGTAGCCTACTGCTGAGCACTAGTGATGTATAAGGATGTGTGTGTATACTACTTTACAAGTAACAACAGTGGTAACTTGTGTTATCTCCCTTACAAAATCTTCAAATCAGTAGTACAATATACCTAATATTTCACAACACCCTTAAGCTTCATTAAAGCATATATATTTATTTTGTACCTTCCAAATGTGTAATCAATAAATTAAAGTGGAGTGTTTCAACACTCTAAGTATCTCCATTGAATAAGAGTTCTAATTAGTCCTGTAGTTTTCTGACTAGGAGTTGCTTACCCATTTATTATAGCTATAGAAAAGAGTAAATGTAATACAAAGAATCATAATCAAAATTTCCTTTTTTACAAAAATATCTTGGATCCACTATGAGGATTTGACCCATGGAGCTTTTAAATTTAAAGCAGAGAGCTTCATCACTTTGCCACTGGTCTTGATATTTATTATTTTAATACTTTTCTGCAATTTAACTCAGGGAGGTAGTTTTAAATATTGTAACTTCCTAAAAAAAAGCCCTCTGCCCATCAGTTCCTTTAAATGGAAAATAATTTTATAGGGCCTGTATACAATCAGTAGAAAAATGGTGGGACTCTCTACCTTAACTAAGTTCAGGTTTTTCAGTGATAAACTGTTTAATGAAATGCATATGTCAATGTAAAGTGAAGCCGGCCTCTACTACAAACATCATATCTATTGATCTATAGTGCATCAAGTCAAGTCTAAACCAAAAGGCACATGCAGGATTTACTAACAGATCTGTCATTTGATTTATTTCATTTTAAAATTGTTTTAAAAAGACCTTACTTACATGTTCATGTATCCTAAATTAGAACACAAAATTTATTCTTAATTAAACTGAAGCATTTAATGTATTACATTATTTGCTTTAGCAAGCCCCCAACTGTAGATTACCGTATTTGACAGCAAATAAGCCCCATCTCCACTTGGGCAAATATCCTTGGAACAGGGTGGATGTCTGCAATTAAGCCCTTCCCTAATTTTGTTGCTCTCCCAAACAAATCTATGTAAATACCTGTCTCTGGACATAAGCAAATCAGCTTACTGGATGCCATATACAGGTAACTAAGCCCTCTATAGGAATGTCAAATAGGTACGTCTTACATTCCACTCAAATAGTTTAGATAAAAAGGTATGTCACATCAGACAGACATTACATGACTGCTAATTCAACACACCACATGTCTGTGATACACAGAACACTGACCTTGATGTTTAGACAAGTTAATAATGTTAGGCAAGGTTTTTTGTAATTTTAGATGTACATGAAGTAGTTGTGATTTAAATGTATAAATGAGTTTCTTACAGAATAAGTTGCATGCATGATATTGGTATGTTTTCTCAAAATAATTGATATTTTCTTTATCTATTTGCATGCTTTCATTTACCTGTTTAATCCTTATCCATTGTGTCAATATAATTTGTACTATGAAAAAAATGTTGACAAATACCATATATATGTACTTACTGTTTAGTGACATTTATGACGACAAAGTTTCTTGAAACTTAGCTATACAGAGCATGTAACTGAGCCCTTAGGCAAAATTGGCAAATGACAAACTAGAGCAATTAAATGAAACAGTAATATATACTTGACGCTGTTTGTCAACTTTCAGTCTTTTATGTTCCCCTAGACAGTCAGTTTCCAATCACTTCCTTTTTTCTACAATAACAACTATACAATAAGAACTCAGTCATTTTCTTAAATGATTCCATGTGTTCAAAAATATGGAGATGGAAAAAAAATATCCTAAAAATGTGTTTTTTTGTATAATATTTACATTTTACTAGACATAAAAGAGAAACTTAACAACAACAAATATTAAATTGCAACATATAAAGAGGAGTTGTTGCATATAAAAATCCCATTAAAAATTTACTTTTTCCAAGTATATTTCTTATCTAATAAATTATAAAAAGGCGAAAAAAAGCAAATTTTCTTCTGGCATTTGAGTAAGATTGTGTGAACTAACTTGTTCTCACCTTATTTCCTTAGAGCTCCTAGCAGACGTCAAAAGAAAGTTTGCTTTCCAAAGACTGATGACATTAATGAGCTTGCAGTGTAATTTGCACGGTCGTGTGCAAAATATCAGAGTACAGAAACAGGACACACCTAGATACAGGACACGACTTGATACATACATGTCACGTGTAAGTAAATTATATAGAAAATGAGGTAAATCCACAAAATGTAATGTCTTCTTAATGCAAATTAACAGAATATTATTATATTTATATTTCTCCAACAACCATTATAGGTTTCCACATTCCTGACAGATTGGATAAACCTGCTAGGAGTTGGTAACCATTTTTGGTTACCCAATAATGGTTACACCTTGCATTGGAACATTACTTCTTTGGTCAATCTTCTATTAAAGACGCCAGATTAACATGCTTTGTGCATTACCCTCCATATAGTGACGTCATAGTTTTTGGTAATTGTTTCCCAAATTGGAAACAGGAATAATGTATTCCGAAGAGAAACATGTGGTTTTCTAGATATAATATCAGAAGTTTGTGGGAGAAAATGGTCCAAAATCTCATGATAGTTAATAATCATGTTTATCTTACTCTCATAAGTTCATTTTTAAATGTAAAAGACATTTTGTAAACCTTGTGTACATACAATTTGAGGGTGAAAATAAACTTTCGCAAGTAAGATAATGATGATAACCTACCATCGCTTGTTGGGTTACCTCTATATAACTGTAGCGGAAATGGACTTGGTCGATCATCGGTGACCAGGTAGATGGATTGGTAGATCTAGAGTGTTCGACTATATTGTGAGGGTCCAAGGTTCGAACCCCGGTCTGGCCTTGCATTTTTCCGCTCCTGCTACATAAGGTGCCTGAGACCGACCATTGTTTCAAATACTGGGTGAATGCTTGGTAAGGGGATACCCAAACCTTAGTTGTAAATAGAGTTGTCTGAGAGGGCAAAGATTTTTTTTAAAAAGGGGGAGGAACTAAGCAGTTAATTGGACTGGGGTGACAGTCGGACATCAGGTGGCTTAATTGGTAGAGCGTCCATCTAGATTTTGGAGGGTCCTAGGTTTGAACCCCAGTCTTGCTGTACATTTTTCTGATCCTACTGCATAATTAACTATTTCTGTCTTTGATTCATTAATGATGCACAGTCAAAGCTTGACAGTATATGATTAAGAAGAGATATTTATTTTGGACAAATGTCAATCATGTTGGTTTAATAAGAAAATATAAGATCATTAACGGCTATCATGCATGCATCTAATTGCATATCACATAACAGCGCGCTCTCTCTCTTTTGCCAATTACCTAGTATCCCATACCCTATATGTATTATAAATATTTCATTTCAATTAACAGTATTGCATCCATATCTATTTTTAGTCTCATTCCTGTAAATAAGAGATGCTTTGGAAAGCAAATGTACTACCAGAAGTTTGCATCTTAATTAGAAACATAAAGCGAGACGCATAATTCTAGCTGAATCATTGGCCTTCGTTGGGGCGTTTATATAAAAATGCACGGAGTAACAAGGCACAGAAAAGTGACAGGAAAATAAGATACAAACCTTTTGATTTAGGATGTTGCACAAGACAGTAGCCATGACCTGAATTTTGTCTGCTCACAACCCTTGGTCACTTTGATTGACATGCGATTAAACCATTAGGGAGGAGGTCCGTGCCGGCACATTTCGTTGGAGTCTCTGATAACCCAGGTTTATAAATATGCCATCGTGCATGTGTACATAGTCTGGCGTGTTGTTTTGAAACGGCCGGGTGGACACAGAGCTAAACAAGTTCTGCTTCAGTAGTCTACGTGAGTTATTTCCCTTTACTGTCAAACGGATTCGGAATATCCTCGGGTCTGACCCCTATTTGGGAGGTAGAAGTAATTAAGGGATTCTCATCATGACGTCAAACCATCAACCAATCAGAATCGATAAGGTGCGAGATTTAAAGTTGAAAATGGAGGCAATAAGCACGATGGACGGAAGCTAAGAAGATGGAAAATACACATTCGATGGTTTTATTCCTTTTGTTTCAGAGATTTTAAAATGAAGCATTTGACATTTATTGATAACACGGACAATCTTCGTGCCCTTATAAGACAAGATTTAAGGGAACTGGGAATCAAAGTCCCCAAAGGAAAGAAGTCTAAAAAATTCAACACGAAAACACAGGTTTGAAATTAATTCTACTGTTACAAAAACGTAGACCTGCTGCGTTCTTTGATCGAAGATTGTGCTGTATTTTCTTGTTATGGTCATCCAACGTTCGTTCACGATATCGATAGCCCATCCGCCCATTTAGATCTCCCCAAGTTGGACACGCCACCCCCACCCCCGGCTAGAAGTCCCTTTGTTTATGTTTGTTTACCACGCGGTATGTGCGCAAAATGTCCTTATTCCTTGCAAAATATGCCCTGAAGCTGTCCAATGGCTGACATTAATTACTGTTTAATGGTAATATAGGCCAATTTAAATGTATACAAACCTGGTTCCGTAAAACAGACACTCTCCATTCAGTATGGCTTCCATGCAATGTTGCTTTTCAAACCTTTAGACCTAGCCCGGGTTTCCTCTGGTCCTTGACAGTTAGGCCAGAGTTTGTTAATGAAAAAAGGATTTGGATGGACCTATTCACCCCTTTCCCCACACAACAATTTCAATGGATTATCACTTTGCTAAAAGTGATCACTGGATATTACTATTCGTCTGGTCCCTCCCATCAACGTTGTAGGGAAACAGAGGCAGTATTCATTCAACTATGCTGGTTGAGGGGAGGGACCAGATGAAGAGTAATATCCAATGATCACTATAAACCAGAGATTTACTTATGCCTTTTCGGCACATGACAATCATGTAATGACGTATTGGTCACATTGACATTACACACCAGTGTTCTCATTAACAGCTGGCTGCTGGTTATTCAACAACTTTGAATGGGTTATTTATGGGTTAAATATGTATTCAGTATATATGTCATTTGCACATTTAATCAACTATTCCTTCCAAGTCAACCATCTATTTCAAACCTTTGTGAAAACACTAGTAATGATAATGTACCAAATTGTAACAGTTAAGATCTTATATTTTCCTATCCTATCCATTACTTGTGTAACAGGGAAAAGTGAAATGCAACATCCAGACTGGGGTTCAAACTCCTCCCTCGTTTATCTTAGTCTTTGCCCACTGACAATCAACCTAGTTCAGTTCCACTACGTTCCTCCCACCTTTATGTAAGTCTTTGCCCTCGAAGACACAAATATTTACGACTTGGTTCGGATATCCCCTTGCTTAACATCACCCAGTGCTTGAAACACTGGTTGGCTATAGCTAGCAAGTCAATTTTGAAACAGGAGAAAGAGAACTGCAACGACCAGACAGGGGTTCGAACCCATGACCCTCTGAACTCTAGACGGACGCTCTACCAATTGAGCTACCTGGTTGCCGACGATTGACCCAGTCCAGTTTTGCTACACATGTATTTATATTACTCATCTTTTGAGTTTATACAGTACTTACTGTAAAACCTTGCTAACTCGAACTTGTGCGGTCCAGATCAATAGTTTGAGGAGTACATGGTACATTTGTATTTTGACTGCTACCACAGGGAGACAAACACACCAACAAACCAACTCAAGCACAAATACATGCATGACACATGGAGGCATGTCTTTAAATGAACTTAGATGGTTATATAAACCAAATCAAACCTGCATTAACATTTGCTGCAGGGTCTGCAAATCTTTATCTATGAAAATGTTACATTGAAAAGTAGTCCATAAAAAAATGGGCCCTATGTCTTCTCTTATTCTCATGCAGGAGATTATGTGGGGACCATTTATAAACCTGTGATGAAGGATCTCTGAACCATTTGTTTGTGGGGTACATATATATATATTAAGCAGGTTACGATCAAGTTATATTAATGTCTATGAAATACACTAGTCTGTAGACATCAGCAAAATTTGTGATTATTTCATATTTTCAGGATAAACAAGATGACAAAATATTTGGGAACTTTCTGTCGCATGTATCCTGTATCCATGAAGAGGATTACGGCTATGTCCCGAGGTAAATTTTTCCCACGGCTGTACTGGTGTCTAGTTGTGTGTAGTGTTTGATGAACAGTACATGAATCAGTAATAATGCACATGCACACTTTTCTATCAGGTGTTTAAGATGTCTTTCTATGTATCGCACATGTACTAGATTCTACAATGGTTGTGTACTTCCTCAAAATCTACCAGAGTTTATTACTGACTGCAAACCACAGGCCTAGGATTGAACATGTAACAACCCCACACCCCAACCACCATGATGTGTAATATTATATATAAGCCCAATATCAAATTGAAGCTAAAATGTCAATGTTTTTAACATTTTAAAGTAAAAAAAGGCAGTATGTAAGTGAAATAAGTGAAACAATTTTTTCCAGGAAGAAAAATATTGTATATATTGTATACCTACATTTGTTACTTGTTATAGTGGTGCTGTAGTTTGCATTCAACTAGGTATCTTGATAAATATCTGTCTTTTAAGGTTTCTGGTTGATGCTGCAGTTCTTATCAGAAAAAATATTGAGCAGGAAGGATTGTTTCGGAAGTCTGGTGCTGTCAGTCGACAAAAGGAGCTACAGGTATATGGTGTTTGGGATTGGTATGGAAACAACCATTAGAGACCTGTCAATGATCAGTATAACATAAATTGAAGATTGACCACTGCATCAAACATTTAAATGCTTATTAATTAAAAATGATGATACTGAAGATCCTACTGTGATATTAAAATAATACTGTTCTAGCAGAAAAACAAAAAAGGAAACATTGGTTAATTTCAGATAAGCAAGTCAATGAGAGTAATGGTAGAACCAACTTGATGGCCTTTGATCTGAGATCCAGGTTCCACCGACTAACTTTCCTATTGCATTTATATATTTGATGGTGGATATCTAAATACACTATACATGAATATCTAATATGATATTTTTAAAAAAATGCATCATATATTTTTTTCAAGCAAAAACTCTGTATTTCTTACAAATATCTGCCCTAGGGTAGAAGGTGAAATTTTAGAATACAATAATGTTCAATTCGATTTTTTTTTTTTGTAATTGTTTATTTTTCGACGATTTTTTCATAATACATATAATCATGAAAAGAAACACACACACACACCCAAACTTACAGAGCATATTTGCTAGCACGAGATAACTTTTTATACAACCATCATATTCTGCATATTTATATATTAAAACATTTCCTCATTCTCCTACCCCTAGATGATATGCGCTAAGAATAATAATTCAAACTTCCAAGCCTAGCATAGTATATGTATCACTGTTCACCAACACACACACACATATCACAATGTGTACATGATCATTTGAGCACTGATATATCTACATTGTGGACACTTATACATGTTACTGCACTGTATACATGTTCGATAGTAGCTATTTAATTGTACATACATGAATATGTACAATATATAAACACACATGCATACACATAAGACTTGTATGCGGTCAGCTGTCTACACATATTGACACTCATATGCCTCATACCTAGCTGTATCTATATAATTCATCTTTTACACACCCACACACACACACAC